AGCATGTAATTTTGGGTGTGGTGTGAAACCACCATAAGAGGCAGCAAGACAACCTGATTGATTGCTGACGAGACCCTGACAGTTTGCTGGCAATTACTGACAATTACTGGATTGGATTACGTTGATGTTTGTTAGCTGCATCTTTCCCCTGCTGAAGAGTTGCTGATAAGGAAGAGAGGAGTTTTAGAGTTTTGCATATCTCTCTACTGCGAGGAGATATATCACCGGACTGACATTTGTAAGTTTACTGACCTCTCTTTTTCGACACTGGAATTTGCAACTGGATAATCCCTGGACGGACTGAACTAAGTGATGATATATGGACTGTTTTGACTATGCTTTAACTCTTGCTGAAATAAAACTATTTAATAGGCACTGTGTATCTGTTTACTGAGTGTAAGCTACACAACGTTTATCTCACACATATTCTGCCTGACTGCCTGACTGCCCTGCAGATCTTGCTAGGGTATATCCCTAACACAGGTGCTCTTCTGGGTTTCTATCAACAGCTAGAGTCTGGTGTTGAAGCTTATTAAAAAAAAGGTGATAAGACTCCGGAGAAGAGTTATAAATTTTAACAAAAGCCTTGGATAATCAAACAAGACGCAGTGTGCTCTTTTTATTTTTTTTTAAGCTGCGCAACCCCTCCTTATTAGTTTACTTTTCATAATAGCTATTTGAATTTTTGGCCTTTCGGAACTTGTTTTTGTCTTTCTTTTTGTCTTTTGAAGTCAAATTTTTACCTTTGCATTTTATTTTAAAGGAAAAGCTTTTAGTATTAATGATTTCCTTCCTTTTCTTTTTAAGGGAGTAGTCTCTTTTCTTTTTTTCTCTCTCCCTCCCTTGTATTTTTTTTTCTATTTACCTTCCATATTGTTTTTTTATTTTATTTTTGTGGCTTTCTTTTTTTTCTTATGCATCCTTTTATACCTGAGACCTCTTAATTGGATTAAGGTGTGGAAGAACCTGAAGAACTTTTCTTTTCTCTTTTTTAGTTTTTTACTTTTTACTTTTCCGCCTCTTTCAGGATTTAACAATTTTTTCTTTTTTGAGTGTGTTTATGGTCTTTTCTTCCATTTTTGAGTTTTTATTGCTATCTAGCCAATTGATTGGATTAAGGTATACAAGAACCTGAAGAAATTCTATTATTGTTATTATTATTATTATTATTAATATTAATATTATTATTAATATTATTATTATTATTATTATTTGGTTTCTTTTTTCCTACTATTTTTATTTGGAATTGCAGTTGGTTATTTCACAAGTGGATTAAGGTCTAGAAGAACCTGAAGATTCTGAATTGTTTGAAATGAGTAGGAAACCAACAGCCCCTGGTTCCTCAACTTCTACATCTTCCTCTTCACCATCTGGAAAACAACATTCAATACAGTCAATGTTACAGCAAGAAAAAGAACAGGAAAAAGTGACCCTGCAGATGATTATGCAAGGAATTCAAAATATTCAAATAAGAATAGAGAATATTGAAAAGAGAACAGAGAACATTGAACAAAGAACAGGGGAAACTGATGAAAAGGTGAAGAACATTCAACAAATGATGATGAAGTATGATGAGAGATTGGTTTTCATATGTGCAAATACATTCAAGGTATGATAAAAACTCTAAAACAGAAGGTTTCTATGATAAATTGACTGATTTAGATAAGATTTTGACAGGTACTGATGAAAAGATGATTAAAAAATTGTATGGATATTTATTAGAAATTAAACTAGAAGAACAAGTTAAAGAAACAATGATTGCTTGGGGGAAGAATTTTGGATATGGGATTGATCTAGAGAAATGGCAAAAATTGTGGTCTCAAAATTATAAAATGACATTGTCAACAGCATATAAAGAAAATTTGTATGTTTTACAGGTGGCATTTCCCCCTGACAAGAATAGCAAGAATGTTCAAGAACAAATTGGAAAAATGTTGGAAATGTCATCAGACACTTGGCTCATATTACCATATGTGGTGGACTTGTGCGGATGCTAAAAAATATTGGACTAAAATCTACACGTGGTTGGAAAAAATGACAAAAAAGCATATAGATTTGAAACCAGAGATATTTTTATTGGGAATTCTACCTGAAATATATAGTAAAGAATTGAAATACCTAATTGTAAATGTATTAACAGCGGCTAGGATTGTATTTGCTAAAAACTGGAAAAATGAGAAAATATCATCACAGGAGGAAATCATTAAGAAAATATTGGAATGTGCTGAAATGAGTAGATTGACATTTGAAATCAGAGAACAAGATGATAAACAATTAAAACATGGTAATGAAATATGTAGATTCTTAGAAAATAATAAATATATAAAGATGTATTCTTTTCTTATTATATCTACAAAATGATTGGAGGATAGATTTGAGATGATAATATGAACTGTCATAAAACAAATTAAGTAAAATATGATTATTTTGTAAAACATGAATGAATAAAAGTATAGTCAAATGATTGATTAATAATGATATTAATGTATTTAATACTTGATAGAAAATACGAGAATATATACAATGTAATTGTAATTGAAGACTACGAAATGGAAGCTCAAAACTATCTGTAAACCAACCGGCACACTGTATGTATATATATGGAAGATGGCTTGATGTTTTTATGTTTCGTTCGTCTATGTTCGTCTTAAAAACCAATAAAAATTTTAAAAAAAAGAATATGTCGGAGACAGTGTACGTGAAAGGTGTTTCAACTTTCTCTCCTGTTGTGCATAAAGAGTACAAGAGTATGCTCAAGACACAGGCTCAAATAGACCTGAGTCTTTGTATGTTCTGTCAGCTTCTTATTAAGCCATACTCTCTTTGTAAGTCTGGAAAATGTGGTGGCCGCTTTACCAATATGTTTATTCAGCTCAGTGTCCAAAGAGACACTGGCGAAGATAGTTGAGCCTAGGTACACAAAGTCATGGAAATTTGCAAATCAGTAAAAGTTGACTTTAAACAGTCAGATTAGAGCAAGGATGTCAAACTCAAGCCCCCTGGGCCTAATTTCGCCCATGGGGTGCTTAGATCTGGCCCACAGGGCTGGCCTGGAAATAGCAAAGGACTGGCCCGAGGTGCCTCTGCCAGTGAAAATGGAGCTTTTAGGGGCCACGTGCTGCCCCCTGACAGGAGACTGCAGGAGGCCATCGCAGCCATAAACAAGGAATGGGAGGGCTGTGCATGGTCTCCTGGGCTCCGTTTTCACTGGCAGAGAGCTATGAAAGCAAACTAAAAACAAAACAAAAGGAGAAATGTTTCCCCTTTAGCATTTGAGCATCCAAGAAGGGACAGGAAAGGAGAAAGGGAAAGAGGAAAGGGAAAGAAAAAGAAAGAAAGAGAGGAAGAGAGCAAGGAAGGAAAAAGAAGGAAAGAGAGGAAGGAAGAAGAAAGAAGGAAAAGGGAAGGAAGGAAGGAAGGAAGGAAGGAAGGAAGGAAGGAAGGAAGGAAGGAAGGAAGGAAGGAAAGGAAGGTTGATTATAATGAGGGAGGGAGGATCTCAGTGAAGCCCTGCCTTATTTCTTGGCCACCAAAGGTATTCTCGTCATGCCCACCATGGTCATGCCCACCCCAGCCCTCTGAGGTCAAACACAACCCTGATGCAGCCCTCAATGAAATTGAGTTTGACACCCCTGGAGTAGAGGCTCAGTTAGAAGGGAGAAAGTGGAATTAGATAAATAACAACAACAACATGGAGAATGGCCCAATGCTGATGTTACTGGCCTTCAAAGGTCCATGTTGCTGAATGAGACGAGGCTGCATACATTTTGCTTCCACAACAAGGAGAGCTGGAAACAGGAGTGGGATTCTACCGGTTCTCATCTATTCACTAGAACTGGTTGTTGTTAACTTCCTAAGCAGTTTGGAGAATGGAGAACGATTGTTGGAAGAAATCTCATTTTGTTTTTTCCACCCTTATTACATTCTTGGCAGTATGCATAGACTTACTGTCTCTGAAGGAGGTTGATGGTTTTAAGCATTTTACACTGCTGTTGGGAGGGAATACTTCCCTGGAAATACTTCCAACCGCACGCAACCATTAGCACTTTGAAGAAATAATTGAATAACGAAGCAGAGCTGGCAGAAAGAAGCTTTTAATGACAAGAAACCAAGATGAGTGACATTCAGCAAGCCTTCTTGGCTAGCTAGAAAGATTGACATTCACTTTACATACCCTTTCTGAGTTTTGGTCTAACATTGGTTTTTGATTAAGTTTAATTCTGTGCTTGGTGACATTTAATCCTGTGTTTATTGATGGGATAATTTTCCCTATTCAGCTTTGTTTGGAAGGAAAAGGGTTAATCTCTGTTCCTGAAAAGAAACTGGGTTGAGAAAACTGGCTAGTTCCTGTATCTATTTGTTCTGGTAATTGGTTTAACAAACAACAGCTAATGTTGTGATTTAATTATTTTTATTGTGTTTGAATTTTTTCCTGCCTCATAGTTTTTTTTTTCTATCTGGGGAGGGGGTCTTCCTTCACTACTTTAGTGGTTCCTGGCACTGTCCTTTTGGGGTATACTTCCAAAAGGCAGGATGCAGGCTTGGCACTGATTTTTTTAGTGCCTTTCTGGGGGGCATTGTGACCTTTCCTTAAATCTGGATGAGTTCCTTAGGATATCTTGTGAGGTGAGTGAGACCAGCTGGTATCTTTAAGTGGTACAAATGGATCTGGGGATTACTTTTCCTGGGTGTGCTCTTTCTGGAGAGCTTCAATGACCTCTCTGCTAAAGGGTTTCACTTTATGAGCAAGAGTTGGCTGCTGATAGTTATCACTGCATTTTAACTATTTTAATTCCTCAAGGTGCTCTTGCACCCTGCCTGATTTCTAACTGTGGTTTGCAGGTCTTTTTAATCTAATGATTGGTATTTAGAGCAGGTTTTTGCAAGCCAAGAAGCTTTTTGTATTTTTGTACAGGTAATCCTTGACTTACAACAGTTCATTTAGTGATCATTCAAAGTTACAATGGCACTGAAAAAAGTGACATGACCGTTTTTCACACTTACAACCATTGCAGCATCCCCACTGTCATGAGAGGCCAGGCGAGGAGAAGCACCCCTCAACATGCCTGACATAGGGGCCTACCGAGGAATTGCACAGAGGTCAAAGGGACGGGGCTTCAGAATGCCTCCCCAAACCGGGTCAAGTTTTATATCTTTTGATCCGTCGGGCAAGTGGAATTTGAATGTTTGCATAAGGTTGCTAAAGAACAGGAAGAGCTCTGTTTTGGCCAAATTTTCTCCCAAACATACTCGATGACCTAGGAATGGAGAGGAAAACAACAAATCAGTGCTGGTAGTGATTGATTAGGGAAGAAGTAGGGAACTATGGCACCCTTTATGACTTGTGGACTTCAACTCCCAGAATTCTTGAGCCAACATGGCTGCCTTAGGAATTCTGGGAGGTGAAGCCCCTCATGGCTGGCTCAGGAATTCTGGGAGTTGAAATCCACAGACTGTAAAAGGAATGGGCAGCTATGGCCCCTTTATCAGAGATGTTATTCAGCCAGGTCAGACTGGTTCTGGCATACCGGTAGCGGAAATTTGAGTATTTCGGATAATTAGGAAATACCTCCTCTGGCTGGCCCTGCCCCACTTGCCGCTAGCCCCCACCTTCCTGTTTGCTGCTCCCCCTCACCCATCTGCTTGCCCACCCACTCACCCTGCCACACCTCACCCTACATATCTTGCCTTCACCACGCAGTGAAGCATTTTTGTAACACACATAGGAGCTTATTTACATAATCAGATTGTGTTTCCCAACGTGGTTGAAGCTGATCCACAACGTGGTGGTTATTCCTATCCATGGTTGGTGCTGATCCACAATGTGCATTATTATGGCAACTCCATTGAACAGGCAACAGTAGTTGTAAACCAGATAAGACTAGGATGTGGCATGCCTAACAATGAGCCCACAGGATATGTGTGTGTTTTTTTTAAATCAAGATGGTGACCACAGCTGTTCGATTGAAGAATATGCAAACTGGGTGGTGCTTGGATTGACTTCCATCATGTATGTTTGTTTTTTACAGATATCCCTGTTGACAATCCACCACAAAATGCTTTTGTTCTGATTTTAAACACTCTTAGTACAGATTTACTATTCACTGAGGAATGTTGACAGTGGCTCTATCTTTCCCCATAATCAGAAGGCATGCCCATCACTAAATACATATTTATAGCAGTGTTTGAGGGGTGAAACAGGTACAATCAATAGCAATTGCACTTAGACCTATATACCACTTCATAGTGCTTTTACAGCCCTCTCTAAGCGGTTCACAGAGTCAGCCTGTTGCCCCCAAACAATCTGGCTCCTCATTTTACCAACGTCAGAAGGATGGAAGGCTGAGTCAAACTTAAGCCAGTCAGGATCAAACTCCTGGCTGTGGGCAGTCACCCTGCAATCCTGCATTCTAATCACTGCACCACCACAGAAGGAAGGAAGGAAAGAGGGGCTGGAGGGAGGGAGGGAAGGAAGGAAGGAAGGAAGGAAGGAAGGAAGGAAGGAAGGAAGGAAGGAAGGAGAAATAGCAATCACAGTTAGACTTATATACCACTTCTCAGAGCTTTACAGCCCACTCTAAGTGGTACACAAAGTCAGCATCTTTCCCCCAACAATCTGGGTCCTCATTTTACCAAGCTCAGAAGGATAAAAGACCGAGTGAACCTTGAGCTGGTCAGAATCGAACTACTGGCAGTTGGCAGAATTAGCCTGCAATACTCCATTCTAACCACTGCGCCACCAGCGCTCTAACGCATCTCATTAAAGAATCAATGAAAATTTTAACAAGCACCTAGAGAAAATGGGATGAAAGCTTCTCGGCAGGTGAAATTCCCGTCCTTGTCAAGGAAATGGTTTGGGTTGAACGTGAGGGGCATCTCCCATTCGTTGGAGTCATACAAGGCCGAAGCCATGTTCGGGAAGACGGTGGTACCCTGTCAAAAAGAGAAGAGCACTTAAGTTTTGCCTTTCACCCTGAGGGAAGAAAAAAAGATGGTTATATCTGCTGGCAACAGAGGCCGAGATGAAAAATCCTCAGGAAATTTCATCATCCATACATAGCTTTAAAGAACACTCTTTTAAAAAACACAAATAGGTTAAACAACAGTCGTTGCTTTTTTTTTTTTTAAGGGATCCCAATAAACCTAATTTTTGATGATGACTTTGGCAGATCTAAAACAAATTAAGCAGGTTGGACCTGATGGATGAGAACCCATCAGGAAATTTATCAGGGTTCAACGGCTATGGAGATTCTCAATCATCCAGGTTATGGCTTATTTGTTTTTTGTTTGATTTGATTTGTCAATTGCTTACAAGATAATAGGTATAAGAATAAACATGAGTATGAATCCAGGAAATATGTATGAATAAATGGGGACAATAGGACAGGGACAGTAGGTACAATTTTGCACTTATGTACACCCCTTACAGACCTCTTAGGAACGGGGTGAAGTCAATAGTGGATAGGGTAAAGGAGTGGGAGCTAGAGGATGTAACAACAGAGTCAGTGTGTTCCAGGCATTGACCACTTTGTTGCTGAAGTTGTACTTTCTGCAATCAGGTTTGGAGCAATTTACATTGAGTTTGTATCTGTTGTGTGCTCTTGTATTGTTGCAGTCGAAGCTGAAGTAGTCATTGACGGATAGGACATTGTAGCAGATAATTTTGTGTACTACGCTTAAGTCCAACCATAGTTCTAGGTGATCCAAGCCCCAAATTTCAAGCCTGGTGATGTAGGGTATTCTGTTGCGAGCAGAGGAATCTAGCGCTTTTCTCGTGAAATACTTTTGGGTTATCCCAAAAGTGCTTTTTCAAAAGGCAAACTGGACTTTCTTTGTTTCTGCTTGAAGATATTTTGCATCTCATCGAAGAAACTTTTTCAACTTCTGACTTCCCCATCATCCAGCCAGAGCGGAAGAAGCTTCTTGAAGGAGAAGTGAAATGTCTTAAAGGAAAACCAAGAAAGTCCAGTTGCCTTTTGAAAAAAAAACATCTTTGAGACATCTGAGCTCAACTTTAGGCTGGGCAGTTGAAAAACAATTCCTCCTGAGAGAAAGCAAAGCGGAACCATTTCTGATTCGTTGCCGTAGAAATAATATATAGGTCCAGGGGTGGAATTCAAACATCCTAGCAACCGCTCCGCTGCCCGGTTGCTTGTGTGGGTGTGGCCATGGTGGGCGTGGCCTACCAGAACTTCCAGGAGAGTAGTTTTTCACCTTCCCCAGGGTCTGGAGGCTTCCCTTGGGCCTCTGGGAGGGCAAAAACGGTCTCCCCTAGGATCTGGAGGCCCTCTGGAAGCTGGAAACAGGCCCCTTTCCGGACTTCCAGAAGGCCCATTTTTCGCCCTCCCAAAGCCTCCACACGGACCCTGCACCTACCTGCACCCAAAATGGGCCACTTGGAGACTCCTATGAGGGGGGGGCAGGGCCAGCAAGTCGGTTCAAAGTACCATTTCAGCAAACCAGATGTAAACTTAACATCCGGTTCACCCGAACCAGTCAGAACTGGCTGAATCCCACCCCTGTATAGGTCTCTATGAAGTGACAGAAGCTGAGCTCCACTCAAAAGAAATCAGACATCCATTTTTGTGTGCGCGAAGCAAGGAAAGGACTTGGCGTATTTTCAATGTTTGTGCTTCATCATGAACAAAGAATAACTCTAGTTGCGGACAAAAATTGGTAAGGACTAACGTGACAAGCTAGTCAAGAAATCAGAATGAAGGACGGTCATTGGAAACAGGTGCACTTCATAGCTAGTCCCAAGGAATACAAAATATGGGTCACACTGTCACAAAACCAACCTCCCCCTTTGAACTTTTCTGCACATAAAGTACATCTTGTTCTTGTTTTCTCTGTTCTGCAAGAGGGAGATGCATCAGGAAATTGCCACAAAACAAACAATTGATCATTATTCCTACTATTAGATGGTTGGGAATAGCTTTGGTCATGATCTTGTAGGTATGAAAAAGGCCAATAAATTATTGTTGCTTTCTTTCCACACACACACACACACACACACCCATTTGCTTGACTTCTCTTGAAGTGCTCCAGATTTTCGAACATATTGAACTCCGACATTTCTGGAGAACAACGACTGCAGTTATGAATATACACTGCTCAAAAAAATAAAGGGAACACTTAAACAACACAATGTAACTCCAAGTCAATCACACTTCTGTGAAATCAAACTGTCCACTTAGGTAGCAACACTGATTGACAATCAATTTCACATGCTGTTGTGCAAATGGAATAGACAACAGACAGAAAGCATAGGCAGTTAGCAAGACATCCCCAATAAAGGAGTGGTTCTGCAGGTGGTGACCATAGACCACTTATCAGTTCCTATGCTTTCTGGCTGATGGTTTGGTCACTTTTGAATGCTGGCGGTGCTGTCACTCTAGTGGTAGCATGAGACGGAGACTACAACCCACACAAGTGGCTCAGGTAGTGCAACTCATCCAGGATGGCACATCAGTGCGAGCTGTGGAAAGAAGGTTTGCTGTGTCTATCAGTGTAGTGTCCAGAGCATGAAGGCACTACTAGGAGACAGGCCAGTATATCAGGAGATGTGGAGGAGGCCGTAGGAGGGAAACAACCCAGCATCAGGACCGCTACCTCCATCTTTGTGCAAGGAGGGACAGGAGGAGCACTGCCAGAGCCCTGCAAAATGACCTCCAGTGGGCCACAAAAGTGCATGTGGCTGCTCAAGTGGTCAGAAACAGACTCCATGAGGGTGGTATGAGGGCCCAACGTCCACAGGTGGGGGTTGTGCTTACAGCCCAACACCGTGCAGGATGTTTGACATTTGCCAGAGAACACCAAGATTGGCACATTTGTCACTAGCGCCCTTTGCTCTTCACAGATAAAAGCAGGTTCACACTGAGCACATGACAGACATGACAGGGTCTGGAGATGCCATGGAGAACGTTCTGCTGCCTGCAACATCCTCCAGCATGACCAGTTTGGCAGTGGGTCAGTAATGGTGTGGGGTGGCATTTCTTTAGGGGGGCACACAGCCTTCCATGTGCTCGCCAGAGGTAGCCTGACTGTCATTAGGTACCAAGATGAGATCCTCAGACCCCTTGTGAGACCATATGCTGGTGCAGTTGGCCCTGGGCTCCTCCTAATGCATGACAATGCTAGACCTCATGTGGCTGGAGTGTGTCAGCAGTTCCTGCAAGACAAAGGCATTGATGCTATGGACTGGCCCGCCTGTTCCCCAGACCTGAATCCAGTTGAGCAAATCTGGGACATCATGTCTCGCTCCATCCACCAATGCCCCGTTGCACCACAGACTGTCCAGGAGTTGGGGGATGCTTCAGTCCAGGTGTGGGAGGAAATCCCTCAGGAGACCATCCGCCACCTCATCAGCATTCCCAGGTGTTGTATGGAGGTCATACAGGCACATGGAGGCTACACACACTACTGAGCCTCATTTTGACTTGTTTGAAGGACATTACATCAAAGTTGGATCAGCCTGTAGTGTTTTTTTCCACTTGAATTTTGAGTGTAACTCCAAATCCAGACCTCCATGGGTTGCTAAATTTGATTTCCATGGATAATTTTTGTGTGATTTTGTTGTCAGCACATTCAACTATGTAATGAACAAAGTATTTAATAAGAATATTTCATTCATTCAGATCTAGGATGTCTTATTTTTATGTTCCTTTTATTTTTTTGAGCAGTGTATATATATATACTTAACTTACTGAACCTCTATATGGTTTACCAATTGCACGGTGGCAGATAGGAAAGCACTCCAGAGGGTTAATGCCATTGCTCAGAGGATCACGGGCGTTGTATTTTGTAATAATACTCCTAACACGTGAGTTCTCTGCGCACAAACTGCTTTATTTTTCTGAACTCCTCCCTTCCGGTTCCTTCATACTGTGTCACCTCAAAATATGTCCCTCACTACTCTCTGTCTAACATTGGTTCCTCTTCACAATTAAACATCAACAGATTCCATTTACCCTACACCACAACGGGTTGCCCTCTCCCCTCTTTGGAAGAGCTTTATAGCTCCCGCTGCCTTAAGAAAGTTCAAAACATTCTCAAAGATCCATCTCATCCTGGGCACCCCGCCTTTTTTAACTATTACCGTCTGGCAGATGGTTCAGAATAATAAAAATAAGGACAAACAGGCTGAAAAAAAGCTTCTATCCCAGGGCAGTAGCTATGTTGAATTCTATGGTCTAGTGCAGTGTTGGTGTGGTGTCGGGGTTTTCATTTCAATGTGTGAAAGATGTGTGTTTGTGTTTATTTTCATGGTCATAATGTGCACTGAAAATGGTTTTGATTTTGTTGTATGAGGTGCAATGACAATAAAGTAAACTAACTAGTACAAGTAGCCCTCTGTTAACAACAGAGTTTGTTCAGCAACTACTTAAACTTACAGCAGTGCTGAAACAAAGACTTATGGCTGGTCCTCAAAGCTTTAACCATTACACTTCGCATAGGCTGCGTTAACAGAGATAGAATCAAGATCACGTGAAGTGTTAGTACCACTTTATAAAAGCCTTAGTACGACCACACGTGGAATATTGTACCCAGTTTTGGTTGCGACAATATAAAAAAAGATGTTGAGACTTTGGAATGAGTGCAGAGATGAGCAACAAAGATGATTAGGGGTCTGGAGGCTAAAACATATGAAGAACAGTTGCTGGAATTGGATAAGTCTAGTTTAATGAAAAGAAGAACCAGGGATGACATGATAGCAGTCTTCCAATACAGTGGAACCTTGGGTCACGACCATAATCCGTTCCAGGATTTCAGCCACAACCCAATATGGTCATGAACAGAAGCAAGACCATCTGTACATGCAAGGGAATATTTCCATGCCGATTTTGTTCGCCATCCGATTTTTGAATCGTGACCCAATTCAAAAATTGGGTGGATTTTTGGGTTGTCATCTGATTCAGTTGCGAATAGAACCGTCCACGACCTGAAGTTCCACTGTATTTGAGAGGCTGCCCCAAAGAAGAGGGAGTCAAGCTATTCTCCAAAGCCCCTGAAGGCAGGACAAGAAGCTATGGATGGAAACTAGTCAAGGAGAGAAGCAACCTAGAACTAAGGAGGAATTTCCTGATAGAACAATTAATCAGTAGAAGAACTAATCGTGATTCATGTGTTTGACAACTGGCTCACAATTACGATGGTTACATTGTCCTGCCGTTTGCCACCTTCATTGCCAGCTTCTGACAAGCAAAGTCCGTAGGAAAGTTGACAAGTCACAAATGTCAATCATGTGATATCGCACCTAATGAGCATAACAGGAATTGCCACTGTAAGTTGTTGTGGTTCAAGTACCATCGTTAACCAATGACTTCCTATATTGCATGTGCTTCCTTCTAGCAATAAAGGGAAAAGAAGAAAAGAAGGGGTCGCCATCCTTTTGTACCTCGGGGACCACCAAACTCATAATTTTAAATCCCAGGGACCACTAACCGGTTCTGTGGGCGTGGCCTAATTTGTGGGTGTAGCTTGGTGGTCATGTGACTGGCTGGGCATGGCTTGAATGTAAATATTATAAATATTTATATAAATATTGAATTTTTTATAAAAAAAGAGCAACTTTTACCCCAAATCAGGCAAAGCAAGCAGGCACATTGAGTTTCTCACACAATCACAGATTCATTCAGATATCTATCTATCTGCCATCGGCTAGCTCAATCTGTCACATAAAATTTGCTAGCAAGCAAACTCAGAAAATTAATTCACAACACACTATATATGTAAATATTATTTTTTTTTATAAAAAGAGCAACTTTTACCCAAAATCAGGCAAAGCAAGCAGGCAGATTGAGTTGCTCACAGAATCATTCAGTGATCTATCTATCTGCCATCAGCTAGCTCAGTCTGTCTCATAAAATTTGCTTGTCTTGAGACTGCACTGAATAATAGAAACTTCAGTCCTAAGGGAGGTTCAGCTGTGCTTAAAAGCAAAGCCAAAGATTTAAAGACTAGCTAGAAGCAAGAAATCCAACCATTTCCTGCTTCCTAGCTAATCTAAATCTCCTGGCACAGCAGAACAGCTGATGGTAGGAAAAAGGAAAAATAGCAATTTAACAGGCAAGTTTGCCAGGTAAGGAGTGAGTGGGGAGGGAGGGTTGCCGCGGGCCATGTGGGTGGCGCAGCCTTGTGTTTCTGCGCAGCCTGGATTAATTGCTTTGGGGGGTGTGCTCTGGGGGTGAGATTTCTCTGTGGCCCACCAAAATTTTATTGCAGCCCACCAGTGGACTCCGGCCCACCAGTTGGCGACCACTGTTCTAGATGACAGGAAATTGATTACCTTTCTAATGAGAAAATTCTGGATCTTTGTGTCTCTTATGCAGTATCTAGGCAGTCCAATCGAAACGATGTTGCTAAAGCGCTGGATTTCGTGCACCACAGCATTCGTGTACGGAAGTTTCTTGCGATCCTCATAACAGACTGACTGGCCTGGTGTTATGAGTACATCTATCTCTTGTTGAACTTTGGCTGTGGAGAAACAAAGATTTTGCACATTAACTAGAGCTAAGATTGAGTAAGCAGAAGATTGCAGAAGCTCAGCTTAGCAGGAGAGAATTATCACAGGGGTGTCCAACCTTGGCACAACTTTAAGTTTAGTGGACTTCAACTCCCAGAATTCTCCCACCAGACATGCTGGCTGAGGAATTCTGGGAGTTGAAGTGCACAAGTCTTAAAGTTGCCATGGGATCACTTTTTCGCAACCTTCTGTCAAACAATGTTAATGGGGAAGCCAGATTCACTTAACAACAGTGGTGGTGTCAACTCATAAAATATTTCTCTGGTCTTATAGAGTTGCCAGCAGAAAGGGAGGGGGGAGCAGTGCAGCAGCTTGCAAAACCTAGAAACTATCTATGAAAACATTTATGGAATGCAGTTACAAAACCGAAACTGCATTCCACAAATGTTTTCATAGATAGTTTCTAGGTGACCAAAGTTTCTGTCGCGCAAAATTCTAATGGAGAGTATGATTGATGACTCTTGGCTATGGATGAGTCCTATTGGAGAATATGAATTATGATACACCCAGGGGGGGGCGGGAAAACCGGGGTCAAGGGTGACAATGAATGATGTGTCTCAGAGTCAGCTATAGCCAGGTAGCACCGGCATGTTTACTCCTAATAAATCTTCTTTAAGCTTTGAAAATCTGGCTAGAGACTCATGATTTAAATGGGGGTAACTACCAGAGCCTTCACAGGTGGTATGCTACCAGTTTGGACTGGTTTTGCTGAACTGGTAGTAAAAAAAGCCTCCAACGATCAGCTGAGAGGAGGAAAAAAAAGCCTCCAATCAGCTGAGAGGAGAAAGAAGAGAAAAGCGCAGGATTGGTCCTCACACCTACCCCTGCGCTTTTCTCTTCCTTTTTTTTCTGTTTTAAAATATTTTATTTACAAGAAAAAAATTAAAAACAAACACAAACATACAATTATATAAAAGTAAAATTTTAAAAAAGTATAGAAAGAAATAAACATATTTCTTTCCATTGCATTTGATAGTAGATTGGCTATTTCATAATAAACAATAGTAAATAATAATTGGCAAGTATTCCTTGTCACTTATAGATTACATATTAATTAATAAATAACACCTGTTCCTCTATTATTCCTATTGGATTATAACTGTATCATTTAATCAATGAAATCTTCATAATGTTTATATAATAGCAGCTTGAGATCGCTATTATTGTACAGTCAATATATACAATATATTTGTTAAATTCATTTATACTATATGCTCTTTTTCTTATGTTCTACCCAGCTGTACCATTTCAAGTCAGGTAATATTCTGATTCTTCCTTCCCATTTAATTTAAGCGTGAGCCTCTCCATTTCAGCACATTCATAGCTTTTTTGAATAATAATGTGTATCGGTGGTACGCTAGGCCTTTTCCAATATTGCGCTAAAGAAATTCGTGCGACTGTTAATAGGCGGATGGCGCTTTTCTCTTCCTTATCCTCTCAGCTGATTGGTGCTGAAGGCCTCCGCTGGTGTGGGGAAAGCTGCGCACACACGTTATGTGAGCGTGCACACACGTGCGATCACCAAACCTGTGATAAGCAGGTAGTAAATAAACCGGTAGTGGAACAGGTACAATCCCACTGCTGTTTAACAACCTTGCTGCAGTGATTCACTGAACAACTGTGGCAAGAAAAGTTGTAAAATGAGGCGAGTTAACACATTTCTCACTTAACAACAGAAATGTTGGGCTCAATTGTGGTCGTATATCGAAGGTTACCTGTACCTGTCAGGGCTCCAACAAATCCACCCCCATTCAAATCATGTCTCTAGTCACATCTCTCAGAGTAAACAAAAAAAAAGATTTGTTAGGAGTGACCATGTTGGCATTAGCTGGGTGCAACCGACACTAAAATACATCATTCATTTCCCCCTTGACCAGGGTCTTCCCCCCACACCCTGGATGTGTATTCTCCAATGGGACACATCCATAGCCAAGAGTCATCAATCATGCTGTCCAGTAATATTCTTTCGTACCGACAACTTTGGGCTGCCAAAGCGATTATCTAAGGCATTTAAGAAATGCGCTGCTTCCCCCCCTCCCTTTTTCTGCCAGCTAAAAAGATCAAAGGAGTATTATTATTATTTTTTAGTTGAGTTATCCTTTATTTAGTTATCCTTTCTGCATCATCTTTCCTGTCCATTCAAAGATTGCCAATTCTTTGCTATTTCTTTATTTATTTGTATCTCAATTCTATATTTTTTTTAATAAATAAAAAGGCGGCAAACATACCTACTGCAATACAAGTAGTCCTTGACTTACATTTGTTTACAACCCGTTTGAAATTACGGCAGTGCTGAAAAAGTGACTTATGATCAGCCTTCACACTTATGACTGTTGCTGCATCTCTTGTGGTCACATGGTCAAAATTGGGGCGTTTCTTGGCAACCAGCATTTATTTACCATTGGTGCAGCTTCCTGGGGTCTCATGTGATTTGCCATCTTCCCAGATGGCTTCTGACAGGCAAAGTCAGGAAGCCGATGTGCTTAACCACTGTGTGATTCACGTAACCACCTAGGATTCACTTAACGACCATGGCAAAAAAAAAAAAAGCCTTGAAATCAACTCACCTAAAAGCCACCACGGAGAGAAGAGTTGAAGTCCCATTTGTGTTCACATGTCAAGGACTACAATTCATTCAACAGGCTTAAACTGGTGACTGAATTAACTATTTTTTAATTCCACCTTTTTTTCACGTACACCCCAAAGCTGTGAACATACCCTAATACTCCTTCCTCCTCTTTGGAGGTTTTTAAGAACTGAAGGTTTTAAGAAGAGACTAGACAGCCACTTATCTGAAATTGTATAGGTTCTCCTGCTTGAGCAGGGGGCTGGACTAGAAGACTTCCAAAGTCCCTTCCAGTTCTATTCTATTCTATTCTATTCTATTCTATTCTATTCTATTCTATTCTATTCTATTCTATCCTATCCTATCCTATCCTACTCTACTCTACTCTATTCTATTCTATCATGTTTCTCATAAAATAAGGTCAAGTCTTTTTTTTTTTTTGAGCCCCGAAAAAATGGTTAGGCCATCTTTTCGGGGGTGACTTAATTCCCCTCCCTTGCATCCTCGCCTAGAGCGCCCCACGGGCAGCCATGCCTTGCCACCAGCTGCTCCTAACGGGTGATCATGGCAGAGCACAGAGAGCTCCCTACTCCCGCCAAGCACCTTTGCTGCAGACCCGAGACCTTCAGCGCCTGCCACTGTGGCTTTCTGTTCTGCCCATGCCGCTATCGTGTTTGGAGCTGCCGCTTCTGCGTTTGGGGCTGCCACCACATTTGGCACACCACCACCATTTGGAGCACCACTGCGGCTCCAAATGCACTCCGAACAGCGGTGGCGCTCCAAATGCAGAAGCGGCAGCTCCAAACGCAGCAGCGGCATCGGCAGAAGGGAAAGCAACAGCGGTGGGCGCTGAAGGTCTCGGGTCTGCAGCAAAGGTGCTTGGCGGGAGTAGGGAGCTCTCCGTGCTCCACCATGATCGCCCAGGAATGGCTGATGGCGAGGCATGGCTGCTTGTGGGGCGCTCCTCGCCGTTCCCCCCCATTTGGCATGTTTTAAAATAGGCCTAAATTTGGGGGGAGGGGCTTAATTTCATTTGATGCCTAGAAAACATGCTGGGTCTTCCTATGGGGAGGCATATTGTTGGAGAAACATGGTATTCTATTCCATTCCATTCCATTCCATTTCATTCTTCATCCAATATCCTATCCTATCCTATCCTATCCTATTCTATTCCATTCCATTCATATTTTCCCTACAACTACAGCCCTGGGATTTGGGCTGAGAGAATGACCGCTGCAGAGTCACCCAGTCAGTTTTGATGCCTAAAGCAGAAGTAGGAATACTCGTCTCCTTGTTTTACACCTGTTGTCTTAACTACTAAAAGATAAAGGTTTCCCAGTGAGTCATGTCTGATTCTAGGGCACAGTGCTCACCTCCATTTCTTGGCCAAAGGAGCTAGCATTGTCCAAAGACAATTTCCATGGTCATGTGGCCAGCATGATTTTATGCCAAAGGCACACAAAACACAGTTACCTTCCCGATTGAAGTGGTACCTATTTATCTACTCGCACTTGCATGCTTTGGAACTGCTAGCTGGGCCAGAAGCTGAGGCAAAGGACGGGAACTCACCCATCCCACAGAACTCGGTCTCGAACCTCTCCAGCTGACAAGCACAACATCTTTAACCACTGACCCATTCATTAGTTTGGTCTTACCCACTAGACAAAACTAAATAAGAGTTAGTTTTGGGCCATGATATTCCAAAGTCTGTTCCCTTCAAATAAGCTCTCCACAATCCTTGAATCAGCAGAAAATTTTGTCAACATATAATTTGCTATTGCTGGTTCTTATCCAACCACAGACGCAACACAGCGAATATGCCCTATTAAGTTCAGGGCATATTAAAGGATTAGATAATTCTCTGGCACTTTCTCACTCTCCACCTACCAAATGACATGTTTTAGTAGGAGAACACCCAGCAATCAATCGCCTTAAGGTAAGGTGAGGCTGGGAAGCGGACAAATTTTGATAGGTGTCTTGCTCAGCACATTAAGTAATCTGTCGAAATGTGCTCTGGACTTGCCCATGTATTTTACCCAACTGAAATCTCCATTAGAATCTGAATTTAGTGTTCCTGTGGTAGAGCACTAAACCCTTTGTGCTTTTCTTAAATAAAAAAAATCCATTTCCATGAGTATCAGCTTATCTTTCGGTTGGGGGCCTCCTTTCCATGCTTCAAGGAAGTTTTTTTCTTAAATTGTATTGTGTCAGGAGCTCTTTCCCAAGTGTGGTAAAGGGTTAAGAAGAGATTGGACAGCCACTTGTCTGAAATATTATAGGGTTTCCTGCCTGAGCAGGGGGTTGGACTAGAGAACCTCCAAGGTCCCTTTGTCATGCCCCTGGTGGAGACTGACTCTGAGGGAGAGGAGGAACAGCCGACAGGGAGTGGAGGTGTGGCTCTGGAGGTTGTGGAGGAGGCTGGGGAAGGGCAGAGGCCGGCTGGGCAGTCAGAGGAGGACCCAGGCCCATCCCCTCTCCATCCTAGGCCACGCAGGGAGGAGAGGATAAGGGAGAGATGTGGTCTACTCGGGAGGAAAGGGCCTTGATCATCTTCATGGGCTGCAGCCATGACAACTGGATAAGAGGATGGACCTGCGTACGGGCGAGTGCTGGAAATAAAGCATGGAAATATCTCTAGTTTATGGTTCCTCTCTGAGTTTGGCGTCCATCCCAGTGTGTGTTACCTGTGGATGTCCTCCAGCCCTTATCTTGCCTGGTTTGTGTTGTTTTATTACTCTTTTTAATTTAAATGGTATTTTACTCCCTCTGATAACTGCTTGTGTGGGAGTTTTTTGTCTCCAGTCAAGGACATTTGGAGCTTGGAAGCCAAGTGAAGGAATAAAAGGGGCTTCACCTGTTTTTTGTGACGGTGTTTATTTTGTATCCCACCGTGGGTCATCACACCCTTCCAACCGCTATTCTTTCCCCTGTCAAGTTATTCCTGACTCCATCTCCATTTCTTAGCCAAGGAAGTCAGCGTTGTCCAAAGACACTTCCATGGTCATTTGGCTGGAATGACTACACTCCAACACATATGGAGCTCTATTATCTTCCCATTGAAGTGGTACCTATTTATCTACTTGCATTTGCATGTTTTCACATTGTTAGGTGAGCAGGAGCTGAGGGGAGGATGGGAGCTCACCCCATTGTGCATTGTTCGGGTCTCAAACCCAGCCTGTCAGTTTTCCAGCTGATGGGCTCAGTATCTTTAACCGCTGAACCATCCCTCCCCCCGACACACAACATATAGAGGACTCCCCGAAACCTTTTGTTGTATGAGTTATCTGTTTATTGCTATGTACCGTATTGAAAATAAAAATTGGGGCATCGGATGCCTTGCCTGCTTCTCACAATTGTTTGGTGGGGTTTTAGATTTGTATTCATTTTCAACTTTAAGTTGAAAAGTTGGATTTCGATTTGTAATGTGGATTTCACAGACCTCTGATAGAGTCTTGGAGGATCCCAGATAGTCCTAACACCATAATTTTAAGAAATAGGTTTGTTTGTTATAACTGAAGTTGACTATGTTTACACTCCCCTAAGTTGCAAGCCATTTCTAAACAATTTTTGAAGCATGCATAACTTGCCTTCAGAAGCTGTGGGTGCTCCAACATGGGAAGCTTTTAAGAAGGGACTGGACAGCTATTTGTCTGATATGGGTGGGGTCTCCCGCTTGACCAGGGGGTTGGACTAGATGACTTTCAAGGTCTCTTCCAATTCTATCATTCTATAATATTGCATATGTGTAATATTGCATAAGATCATTTATATTGCGTGAAACTCAGGCTATATTGCATTCAAAAGCAACAGACGAGCAATCAGCTTTTCAGAAGACATCAACAGATGTTAATCAAAACATAATCTGCCATTGATCTAGGATGCTAAAAGCAGGTTATCTTGGGCGTGCTTGGAACATCCTGGACATTTACTGAGTTTACTCAAGTGTAAACAGCTAGCCTTTCCCAATACGTCACATGCCCATCACCCTCTCTGGATTACTGGTATATGTTCTTATAGAGCCATAGTGGCGCAGTGGTTAGAGTGCAGTATTGCAGGCTACTTCTGCTGATCACCGGCTGCCAGCAGTTCACCAGACCGAATCTCACTAGGTTCAAGGTTAGCTCAGTCTTCCATTCTTCCGAGGTGGGTAAAATGAGGGCCCAAATTGTTGGGGGCAAGAGGCTGACTCTGTAAACCTCTTAGAGAGGGCTGTAAAGCAATGTGAAGCGGTATATAAGTATATAAGTCTAAGTGCTGTCGCTAGTGCTAGTGCTATTACCATGCCAGTGGCCTGAACAGACAGAGTCTAGCCTTGCTTGGGCCAGCTGATATTTTGAGTGAGAAATAACATCTCGACATTTGGATAATGTTGACTACAGGTAGCTCTTGACTTATGACCATTTGTCTAGTGACTGTCGGATATTGCGATGGTGCTGAAGAAAGCAACTCATGATCCCTGCCTGAAGTTACACTTGCGGTGGTGCTCCTGGGATCGCCTGATCAAATCTTGGGTGCGCAGCAATCCACCTGCCCTTATGACTGACTTTAAGACCAACTCCTCCACTCCTGAGCCATCCCATGCTCCACTTAATAACCCAGATTGTCATTTAACAACCGCAATGAGGAGAGGAGGGATTGGAGTCCTTAAACGAGGCGATCACATGGGCACATCACATTAACAAATGTCATGACTCGAGACCATAAGGACGAGCCTGCATTATGATTGTAAGTTGAGGACTAGCGATCACTAAATAATTCTTCCAATAATAATTGTCAGTTACAGATGAAGATGCGACAAGCAGCTTCAGGCCTCAAGCTTAGATGGGTTATAAGGGTCCCTTCTATCTCATCCATCCTATGATCAGGAGTGGAGTTCAAAAATCCCAGCAACCGGTTCACTATCTGGTTGCTGGGTGGGCATGGCCATTGTGGGCGTGGCCTACTAGAACTTCCGGGAGGGCCGTTTTTCACCTTCCCCAGAGTCTGGAGGCTTCCCTCAGGCCTCTGGGAGTAGGAAAACAGGCTCCCACAGGAAGCCAGTAACAGGCCCATTTCCAGACTTCCGGAACTTTCCGGGAGGACCATTTTTCGCCCTCCCAGAGCTTCCGTGCAGATCCTGCACTTACCTGCATCCAAAACTGGCCATGTGGAGACTCCTGGGAGGGGAGGGGCAGGTTGGGTGGGGCCAGCCGGTTGGTTCAACTACCGGTTTGGCGAACCAGGTGTAAATTTAACATCCGGTTCACCCGAACCAGTCCGAACCAGTAGAATGCCTCTGATGCTTCTCTCACCTTGAATGTCAGGATAAAGCACCATATATAACAATCCCCAGAAGAGAGTGGTGCCTGCCGTCTCTGTTCCCCCCACGAAGAGATCAAAGATGCTCTGAACCATGTTCTTTTCATCATAGGGTGACTTGGGTTGGTCTTTCGTCTGCAGAACAAAAATGGAGAAACAAACACCTGAGAAATCTTGAAGGTCATCTCTTCCTCCAAGTCCTTGCCTGTTGGAATATGTGTTAGCATCTATTTTGTATTGCAACAATTACAGAATCGTTCAGCTAAGAGATGGCAGTGTTTAGTTTGCATCTGTGGTTGTAATCTATGGTTCTATTTGTTCTGAGGAGAGTTTCCTGTTTCCTGTTACAGTTTAAAACAGTTGAACAGTAAAGCACATGACGACAGTACTCTTTGTTTGCTCTGGGTGTCTTATTTTTTTCCCATGTACGGGAGGCCCACTTTTCTTGCTTGCCGTGGGACAGGAGGTTGCACGGTGTATACCAGTACTGCCACCATCGTGAGGCAGGGGTGGAGCTGGCCCACAAACGGTGCACCGGCTTACCTCAGGGCCCCCTCAGCCAGGCCACCCAGGCCCCAACATGTGGGGCAGCTTCACCCCCGACCTCACCTCATGGCCATCATACTGCAAGCATCCAGATGGAATGGGCAAGCAGCCAGTTGTGCAAGCTCTTAAGTAGGGTTTATTTGTGTGGTAGGGCTTATATCAGGTGCACACATTAAAAACCATGCTAGGGCTTTTTGGGGGATAGGTCTTATTTTCAGGGAAACAGGGTCTATATATAAAAATAGACTTTCTAACATTGCCAATTTCAAACAGTTGCAACCTTCTCTCTTTGGAGAAGGCAGGGACAAAAAAGGTAGCCATTTCCTCCTGTCGGTCTCAGAGCCCTGGCATCCACTCCGATGTTGCACTGTCACAATCCCCAGAGAAGACGGTATTCAAGACTACTACACAGCTGGATGGTTGGGCAATTCTGGGAGTAGAAGTCCCCCCATTTTGAAGTCGCCAAGGTTGGGAAGACGTTATGTTATAAGCTGCCTAAAACAGTCACACAAAAGAGTATCTGCTTACTTTCTCTATTTCAGCCAGGTAAAAATGAATGAAGTCTTGTTCTTTTTCTTGATGCTCTGCTTCTTGGTGCTTCTTGATCTCCTCTCTTATGAATGACCGAACAAAGTCACAGGAGGAAAATCCCTTCTGATGAGATCCTGGAACATGATGCATAATCCAGGGGAAAATATTGTACAGCTGGTGGAAGAGAAGTAACATCACCTGAGTTAGGAAGCCATATTGATAAAATAAAAAATAAGGATTAAACAGAGGCAAAAGGAACTGAGAGCCTTGGTGGCATAGTGGTTAAAATGCAGTACTGCAGGCTACTTCTGCTGCCTGCCAGCTGCCTGCCAGCTGCCTGCAATTTGGCAATTGAAATCTCACCAGGCTCAAGGTTGACTCAGCCTTCCATCTTTCTGAGTTGGGTAAAATGAGGACCTAGATTGGACTTCCAGTTTGAGTTTCTTCGGCAATAGACCGAAGCCTCATCTCTGCGAGGCTTCGATCCGTGCTCGCCGCTGGAGCGCCCCGAGCCAGCTGGTTCCAGGGCTAAGCCACCCCGTAGAGGTGGTGAAGAAGGGGGAGACTGCCTGCAGGGTTGAGGAAAGCCGCATCTCTCCTCCCCAGCTGGCCATTATTCCCTTTCCCGAAGGTGGTTGTAGCTGTGATCAGAAATGGCCACCACAAAGAAGAACTCGACCAGAAAAGAATGTGCAGGAGGAAGATAAGAAGAGAAAGTTTTGGTTGACTGGGTCAAACAGCAAAAGCAACAAATAAGGTACCCTGGAATTGAAACTATTAAAAAAAAAACAATAACATTGTTCCCTAAGAAGATTTTTAAGCTGCGAAGGAGAGAAAAAAGGGAAAAGATTTGGTTTTTTTTTTCTCCTTTTCCTATACTGACAGCTAAGAGACTTAAGCAAGAAATTGGAAAAAAATCCACTTTGACATTAATAGGCATTTAATGCTGAAAATAAAAAGTCAAAGGGATAATAAAGATTTCTGGATAATCCAAAGCTTTTGAAAACAGGAAAAGAGAGAAAAAGAATAAAAGGGCAGGTTCTGGAAGGGAGGAGACTGCCTGGAATTAAAAAGAACTTACAGCAAAATCGCAACAAGACTTCCAAAAGATACATTTTAACTGAAATATCACAACAAAAACCCCAGGAAGAGAAAGTGGAAAAAGAAATAAGAAAATATAACTCGGGACTATTTGGATTACTTGATGATTTCTGGATTTTTGGTTATTGTATTTGAATGACTAAAATCAATTGGGTGGTTGTTTAAACTGTTTAAAATGGCTCCACTTTTAGAAGAACTGAAAATGGAAGTACAAAGTACAAAGAAGATGCACAAGAAGGGAGAGGTTCTTTTGGCTGCATATTTCAGTTTTTAGAAATGGAAATTTGGAATTATGAGAAACAACAAGAAATGCCTGCAGAACAAGAAGATTGCGACAAAGAAGAAGCCATCTTTAATGAACAAGTAATCTTAGGTGGGGGGAAAAAAGAAAGGGGGGAAAGAGAATGGAAAGTTTAAGATTGGGAAAAACAACTCCAAAAAAAGAGAGTGAAAAATAAGTATAAAATCAGAAAGCAACAGAAGAGGGAAATGCAGAAGAGAGAATTAGATGTAGAGAGACAAGGGGGTAAAAAGGGGAGGGAGAAGATGAGAGGGAAGAAAGAAAGGAAAAGAAGTTATAAAGGACAGAAACAAAATATAGAGAAATGGGGCCTATTTAGAGATAATCGGTGAAAATTTAATGGAAAAGGGGATTCTGCAAAGGTACATAAGATTGTATTGTTATATTAGAAATAGAAATAACTTTAGAAAATATGAAGCAATGTATGATTAAAATGTTTGATAAAATAGCTATTGTAATTCAGTGGAATGCTTGTCAATAAAAAATTGTAACAAAACATATGTGAAGAGAAATAAGGGAAAAATTAATTATGGAGATTATATGTGTCTTTAAGGAAGTATGATATTTAATTGAAAAGAAGTGTTAAAAATGTTAAGATTTTAATGATTATTAATGATAGAACTGAACTGGAATGGAATGAGGGTTTATAATTACATATATTTATAATGTGTTTTTTTTTTAAGAATATAGGGTGTATTATAAGAATGTACCAGCAGAATTCGATTGGAAGTTATGTATTATGTATTATACTGAAGGTCATAACCTTAAGGTATATATATTGAAGTTTAAATAAGAGTTGAATGGATGTAATTAAAAGATATAAAGGTGTCATTCTCCAATTAGTAACTACAGGAGAAAATTTGTTTAATGAGAAAAGATAATATGAAATTGAAACAGAACAGACAAAAGTATAAATATAATAATTTGAATTGAGATGAGATAATCAAAATAAAATTTGAGGAAATTAAAAGAGGGGAAAAACTATATAGAAAATGTAGAATAGTATAAGACATGGAATAGAACACAAAAAGGAGCATGAAATTGAGCTTTGTGTCTGTATAAAGAAGTTCAACCCGGGACCATGCTATTTTCAAAAAGATGTTTTACTTGTATTTTGTATTTGTGAAAACCCAAATAAAACTTTATTAAAAAAAAATGAGGACCTAGATTGTTGGGGGCAATAGGCTGACTCTGTAAACCACTTAGAGAGGGCTGTAAAGCACTGTGAAGCAGTATACAAATCTAAGTGCTATTGCTATTTGAGAGCAAAATCGTTGAGAACAATCTTTGAGAATATTCTTGGCAGAAATTATCGAGACTTTGACGTGACTCAGAACATCCTATCCTACTTTCTTTAACTAAAGAATGAATTAAATTCTTGTTGTTTTGAACAATCTTGGAGGAAGAGGCATAAGAAAAAAAGTGTCAGTGAATAGTTATTTCCTTATTTTTCTTTCTTTATTTTTTCTTATCTTTATTGCTCTTATCTTTTGGTTTTACTGTTGTATTTGGAAATATCTCAGCGTTGTATTCTCCTTTTCAGGGTTTCTGAGAATGTCCAGGCAATTTTTTCCTTTTATTTTAGTAGAACACAATACTGAGGCAGTATTCCAGGTCCCTCGTTAAATCCACCCATCCATCCATCCATCCATCCATCCATCCATCCATCAATCAATCAGAATAGAGCTGGAAGGGACCTTGAAGGTCTTCTAGTCCAACCCCTTATTCAAATAGGAGATCTTATACAGTTTCAGGCGTGTGACTGTCCAGTTTCTTCTTAAAACCTGATGGAGCATCCCACAACCTCTTGAGGCAAGCTGTTCTACTGGTTAATTGTTCTAACTGTCAAGAAATTTCTCCTTAATTCCAGGTTGCTTTTCTCCTTGGTTAGTTTTCATCCATCCAAATAAAACTACATGCAAAAATCGTTAAGCCTAAAGTTTCAAAATTGATCAGAGGTGGTATTCAGCAGGTTCTACCAGTTCTGGAGAGATGATAGCAGACATTTTGAGTAGTTCAGAGAATCGGTAGAAGAAATTTTGAGTAGTTTAGAATACCACCTCTGACTGGCCCCCACCCCCATCTATTCTCTGCCTCCTTCCCCCTGGAGTGGGGTGGTAATGGAGATTTTACAGTATCCTTCCCTTGCCATGCCCACCAAGCCAGGCCCACAGAACAGGTAGTAAATTGTTTTGAATCCTACCACTGAAATTGATGTCACTGTCCCTTAGATTAAAATCTGAGATTATCATTTCCCCTTAGAGGGGAACATCAGACAGTATCATTAGCAGGGATTTTTCATCTTAAAAATGTTGCTGTCCTTGTCCCAAAAAGGCAACAGGATTTTCCTTGAAGACGTTTTGCTTCTCATCCAAGAAGCTTCTTCAGCTCTCACTGGATAGTGGGAGGATGGAAGGATTAGTATTCCTTGCAGACAGCTGGTCATTTGCACCCTTTTGAGGGTCATTGAAGCACTTGGAGGTTTATCTGTGTCCTCAGCATGAGAAGCAAAATGTGTTCAAAGAAAAAACAAGAAAGTCCAGTTTCCTCCTGAAAAAGCTCCTTTGGAACAACCATGACCTGGATGACTGAGAATCTCTGCAGATGATTGGTTACACAATTTTATAAACAACACGAAAAGTTTTACGACCAACACAAGTGACAACAATGATGGCCTGGCTCCATTATGGTCGTAATTCAAGGACAATCTGTACGGGAAACCCAACCAATCTCACTCGGCAAGGATAGGATGAGAAATATGGCTACCACCACAATTTAATCCCTTTCACATCTGTGTGACCCACAAAACAGGGGGCTGGGTTTTTCATTGCACCGTCATGGCTGCCATTTTGATTTTTTTTGGGGGGACTCCTCTCGCTGCAGATAGGCCTGCTTCCCGACTAGCCTTTAGTACCCATTGCAGGGCTTTTTTTGACCCACAACCTCTAAGCCTCTTCAGTGATTGTAACATTTTGATTCTCTTAAGAAAAAGAAAAGAAGGGATCAGCTCACGTTACTCGCGACACCCTCAGGGGCATTGAAAAACATCTCAATGGCTTCCAGCAGGTGATGAAAAGTCTTGTCTTCTGTGGAGAAACGATGGCCAAAGACGAGTGCACAAATCACGTTGGAAACCGCGAGGTTCAGGGCGAAAGAAGGATTCATGGGTTTTCCTGCAAAGAGAAAGAGGGACTCGGTGACCGGCCTGCCTCTTGCAAAGATTGCATAGGGCCTGTGTGGAGAAAGACTAAGGATGACACAATAGCATCTTCCGGTCCTTGATGGTTTGCCACAAAGAACAGGCAGTCAACCCTGAAGGCAGGATAAGAAGCAATGGATGGAAATCAGGTGTGGGATTCTAATAATTTAATAACCTGTTCTCTGCCCTAATGACCAGTTGGATAGGCAAGAACCAATAATTAGATTAAAAAGACCTGCAACCCAGAGTTACAAATCAGGCAGGATGCAAGAGCATCTTGAAAAATTAAAATAGTTAAAATGCAATGATAACTATCAACAGCCAACTCTTGCTCATAAAGTGAAACTCTTTAGCAGAGAGGTCATTTAAGCTCTCCAGAAAGGGCACACCCAGGAGAAGCAAGCCTTAGATCCATTTGCACCACTTAAAGATACCAGCTGGTCTCACTCATCTCACAAAATATCCTAAGGAAATCATCTAGATCAGGGGTCCCCAACCACCGGTCCCTGGAGCGGTACCGGTCTGTGGAACAATTTCTACTGGGCCGCCGATTTGCTGGGTGCCGCCATCTTGTTTTGATGAAAAAGTGCTTCCGGTGAGCTTTTCCGGGTTGAAAGCAGCATTTGGGTGCTGAAAGAATCCTCACACCTTAGTTTCATCGAGG